TAGCCCGTCAGGCCTGGGGACAAGGATAGTTGCCCCTCCCGAATGATGAATGTATGTTGTTTACTATTTTATTATATGTCTCTATGTTTAACGTCTGTATTTCCCCTCCCCGATTTTATGTGAGCCGCCCTGAGTCCCCTCAGGGAAAAGGGCGGCCTACAAATATTAATAAAATCCAAAAAATCCAAAATCCAGTTATTAAACAAATGGCTGTAACCACAGGACTACCAACACTTTCAAGAATATGTTAACTTGTACATCAAAACTGAAGTGTCTACTGCATGGGCTATAAAATAACATTGGTGGATGCCATTTACTTATGTCAGTTGCAACTTATTTCATCGCAAATTTGGATTCTTTGTGAAAAAAGTAGAAGGGTACCAAAGGGCACGATATTTGTATCTGCATCTGTAGAACTTAAGATAAGCAGAAAACAAAGAAGGGTGAAAAGGATGGAACCAGAATAAAATAAAATAGCTCTGGCAGGCAGGTTGTCTGAAAAAGTAGATAGCATTTGGGCTAAAATATGTTTTGAATAAACAACTTCCATAAACATTTCAAATTGCTATTACTGCATTCAGAATGATGTTATACGTGCCCATCTCATTAGCTTCCAGAGAAGGAAACTGAAATTAGTGAAAAAGTATTTGAAATCTGTAAGAAGTAAAGGTCTGGCAAGAATTACAAATTGTATTGTTTAAATTTTGAGTCACTAATAAACTAACAGGATAAAAAAAAATAAGGAAAATGAATTTCATAAATAAAAGCAATGCTTTCTGTCAAAAAGTATTTCTCTCTGAAGAATTGTTTTTTTTTAAATAATACATTCCAATTTTTAACCAATATATTTTATCTAGTTTTATCAATTTTTAGTTTTATCTAGCATCTATCTATTTTATCTCTGTTTGTTAGCCCAGGTTCTAAGCTTCTAAGCTTTTGAATAGTTTCAGCATCTCATTTTTAAGGAATCCACCTGAAATAGTAATCAAGCGCTGTTAATCTTTGGGGAAAGCTTCAATAATTGTACTGAACCACCAATGTCCTTAAATTGGTCGGAAATAATTTGAGTTGCGACAGCCCAAAATGATTGTGCTATAACCTGAGTATCTGCCTTTGTAAATGCACCTTTTGCTATATTTCCACTTTCAGTTGCATTTACTTGTTTATAAAATGATTTTCACCTTCCTGAATTGACTTTTTAAAGTTCTGTATATTCAAGTTGCTATCAATAAAGATATTCTCAACGGCAAACCTTAGCGATGTATGAAGAATCAAACTAAAGAAATAGCAGCATTTGCAAATCGACACTCTTTTATTAAACAGTTATAACAATAAGCTCTGATAATTAAAATAGCTTATTATTTCTCACGAATCAGTCATTTTTTCAGTGCCTGCTTGTAAAACCATGGTAAATGGTGGTAGATTTTAGGAGAAACCCTCCTATACTACCCACCTCTTACAATACTAGACAACGTAGTATCAACAGTACACACCTTAAAGTTTCTAGGTTCTATCATATCTCAAGACTTAAAATGGACACCTAGCATCAAAAATGTCATCCAAAAAGCACAACAAAGAATGTTCTTTTTGCGCCAACTCAGAAAGCTCAAACTGCCCAAGCAGCTGCTGATACAGTTCTACAGAAGAATTATTGAGTCTGTCATCTTGTTTGGCTCTGCAACCAAACAAGACAGACACAGTCTTCAACGGATAATTAAAGCTGCAGAAAAAAACACTACCAACCTGCCTTCCATTGAGGACCTGTATACTCCATGAGTCAAAAAGAGGGCTGCGAAAAATTTCTACAGACCCCTCACATCTTGGACATAAATTGTTTCAACTTCTACCCTCAAAACGATGCTATAGGGCACTGCACACCAGAACAAATAGACACAAGGAGAGTTTTCCCCCTGAATGCTAAACAACTAATTCCCACAACACTGTCAAACTATTTACTAAGATTGTATTACTATTCTTCTTCTCATCCTTCCCATTACCTATGTCCTCTCACTTATGACTATAACCTTGTTGCTTTTATCTTTACTATTTATATTGTTTTATAAGGTTTCCTAGTATGATTTGATTGCTCATTTAATATCCTATGACTATCACTAATTTATGTACACCCCCTTCTACCCCCTTCTCGAATGGTATGACTCTTGTGTGTTTTAAATTATGTATTGTTGCGTGTCGTTTTTAATTTTTGTC